GCCGTTTACGCAATCGTTTTTTGGCCTCGCTTTCTCTTTTGCTTGGTTTTATTTTGTTTTTCGTTTGCGAAGCAACAGAGGGGGGGGCGGGCGGGCGCTAACTATGGGCAACTACATGTCGAAGGTTCGAGGACGACTACTCGCCGCCTGGGTCGTTTGGGGCGCGCGGCTCCGTCGAGGACCGGGCGCGCCCCTTTCCCGGCGCGGCGTAGGTCCCACTCTGACGTATAGAGGGGAGGCACGGACAACGGCCCAATTCATCAATTCCACTCATCTTCTGGTGCCTAGCCCCGTGCAGCGGCGGTCCGGCAGGCTGCCCCCAAGGCCCCCTGGGCCGCTGCGGGTTTTGGAGTTATGCTTTGGCACAGCTTCGGCGATGGCGGCCCCTCTCTGGGGCTTGCATAGGCGGGGAGTCTCCCCCGCTGGTCTCCTCATTCCCTTTTTTCTTTTTCTTTTGAGAGCAGGACGCCGGGTTTGTCTTGTATGTGCGTGTCGGGCCGGGGTGTGAGCGAGGGGCAGAAGGGGCGGGGGCGTGCGGGGCAGAGGCCCAACGTCGGGCGGCTTGTCGGGGTCCGGAGAATTCGATGAGTATGTGAGTGTGTGTGTCACACACACACAACCTCGGGGAGAGAACTCGGTGGAAGCACCAGCCCAGGCTGCCTGCGGCAGGCTCTCACTGTCCCGTGTCCGCTGTCGGTGGGTCGCAAGCGGCAAGGCGTGATAGCATGGCCGCAAGTACGCGCCGAATTGTTGTCCCATGAAAACAAGTAAAATGTACCCAAAAATCGGCGCCTGCGGCGGGCTGGGCGACCCAGATCACGCACACGACAGATCAGTCGAGACCAGACAGACACCATCACCCTAGCCTCACCCTAACCCGACCCTCGCCCTCACACAAAGGCACAGCCCCGGGACCCAAGATCACGCACACGGCAGTCGAGGACCAGACAGGCTTAAGTCACGCTGTAGGCTCACAAGCACCCTGCCGTGATCCGCGCGTTGGTGCGTGCGGGTGCAGACGTGGCGGCGCGCAACAAGAAGGGCAGCGCGCCAATGGACTTCGCAAGGGCTGCGTCCACCGGCGTGAACAACAAAAACGTCCCCCGGAGCGCGGCCGCCACCGCCGCGTGCGTCGAGGCCGCCTCTCCGCCGGCCACCTCTCTGCCGCCTCGTGTGCGTGTGCAGACGCCCAACCTGCACCTCTCCCCTCCCGTTAGGCCCTGTGCGAGGCACCGGCGCTGAGCGGGACGCGGCGCTGCAAGGAGTATGCGGCGGCGGCGGCCGCCAAGGCGGGGCCCGGCTCCGGTGTGGTGGGCGTTGGCGTCGTGCTCGTTGCGCTCCTCGCGGCGGCAGCTGTCAGACGAGGCAGCGGGGCCCTCCGCTGCTGCCGTCTGTGTTCGCGGCGGAGCTGCCGAGCTGAGCTGGAGAAGAAGAGCTTCACCAACGGCAAGGATGACACGCCGCTCGTGAAGCGGCTGTACGAGGCCGCCTTCGAGGAGCAGTTTGGCAAGGCGACCGAGCTGATCTACAATGGCCTCGGCTGGGGCGACGCAGAGGCGGCGCAGCTAGCGAAGGTCCTCGCGAGCGCGGGGCAGCGCCGCGGCTCGAGGCGCTCTGGCTCAACGGCAACAAGATTGGCGACGAGGGCTGCAAGGCGCTGGCCGCCGCCTGCGCGCTGCGGCAACGGGCAAGCAAGGAGTGTTTTTTTGAGTTGGAGGGAATAATTAAATGGCAGTGTGGGCTGTGGGGCGGAGCACGGAATTGATTCATGATTGTTGTGAAATTAAATATTAATATTCTAAATCTAATGTTTTTGTTTTAAAATAGTCCAAGACCAGGAGAGCTCGACTCTGTAATATGCTCATCACAGACGCGGCACGCGCGCGCTACGATGCCGCGCGCATGCGGCGGGACGGGGGGGCACACTCGAGGGATCTCATCACGGGGTAAAGAGACGGGCGGGGCACCTCTCGGGCTCGCCTCTCTCACTCACACGCCTCGCCGCTCGGCCAGTTTGCCAGTCACGCAGCGAGCGGGGGTCGAGGACCAGGGGGTAAGGATTGGGGGAAGGGGGGGGGGGGGGGTCTCCCTCCCTCGCCCCGCTCACTACCCTCACTCGCCCCGCCCTGAAGCGCGGATGCTCGGCGGCGCCGCCCTGGCGGCGGCGCCTGCTCAGGCGGCCTTGGCGCGCAAGTCTGCGATGGCCATCGTCAGCTTCTTGCGGCGCAGCGGCGAGACGATGTTGAGCGACGAGTACATGTCCTGCTCATGGATGAACTAATTAATTGATTGGTTGATTAATTAACGATGTTGAGCGGCGAGTCCATGTCCTGCTCTGTGAGGGTGAGCAGCAGCTTCCCGTTGACGGCGTGCTCCTTGAATGCCATGGTGTGGTCGCCGAGCTCCTCCTCCTCCAGCCACGCGAGCACGTCCGACACCTGCCGAGCCCACCGACGGTTGAACAAGTCAAGGAGGGGACGAACTCACCTCGGCCGCCCCTCGGCCGCCTCTCGGCTGCCTCTCGGCTGCCTCTCGGCTGCCTCTCGGCTGCCTCTCGGCTGCCTCTCGGCTGCCTCTCGGCTGCCTCTCGGCTGCCTCTCGGGCTGCCTCTCTGCTGTCCCTCCGGCACCTTCCAGGTCGTTGGGTTGGACGTGTCCACCGCCGCGGGCAGGGTTCGGGTACCGTGGGGGTAGGGGATGGGCTCGGGTACCGTGGGGGTAGGGGAGGGGCGCCTTCCAGGTCGTTGGGTTGGACGTGTCCACCGCCGCGGGCAGCGGCGTGCCGCTCTGCAGCGCCGACTCCTTGCGCACGAACGCCATGGTCTTCGCCATCGCGTCCTAGGGTTCGGGTTCGGGAACCGTGGGGGTAGGGTATGGGTTCGGGTACCGTGGGGGTAGGGGAGGGGTCCTCGACCTTTGCTTCGTCCATCTGCACCTTGGACTCCTTGCGAAGGAACTCCTTGTGCAGGTCGTAGTTCCCGTCCGCCTTGCTCTGCACCTGAGATCGCAATCTCCCCAAGGTTCACCTCCATTGTGGGTAGGGTAGACACTCTTCAAGCGAGGCGCCCGTCACAGACGCCCGGCCACTGTTGCCTCCTCCATTCCCGTCCACCGGTGCTCTGTGTGCCTGTCTCTTCTCGGCTGCCTCTCGGCTGCCTCTCGGCTGCCTCTCGGCTGTCTCTCGGCTGCATCTCGTCACCTTGGCCTTCGCCTCCTCCTGCTCCGCCTCGATCTCCGCAACCTTTGCGGCCAGCGACTTGTCCTTGATCGCCCAGCTGCGGGGGGCGGGGGGGAGGGGTGGGGGTGGGGGTGGTCCTGCCCCCGGTTCAACGGAGTGTGCGCGGCGGGAGCGAAGCAGAGCAGGGAGGGTGTTCGCGGGGAGCGAGGGGCGGGGAGAGGCGAGGGAAGAATGAAAGCGCGACACGGAAATGCGCCGATCAACAGAGACACAGAGAGAGAGCAGAGAGCAGAGAGGGAGGGAGAGAGGAGAGAGAGAGAGAGGGGAGAGAGAGGAGAAAGGAGGGCGGGGTCCGCGCCGGAAGCAGAGGAGGTAGTTGATTCCGAGAATCGAGACGAGCCAGGTGATGGGCGGGTTGGAGAGGGAGATGCCCTGCACCGTCTTCGGCCCCTCCTCCGCCGCCGCGCACATCCCCCGCCGCTGCCCCCCGCGGAGCAGCTTCGCCGCCGGGCGGCGCGCCGCAAGAAGCGGCCCGCCAGCTGCGCGCGACTGTGGAGGCGTGGGCGCGGGAGGCTGAGGAGGAGGGCCGGCGCGGGCCGCCGGAGGTGGTGCGCTCCACGGCCGCGGCCGCGGCTGTGCACCGGAGGCCGCCGTAGCATAGCTGTGCGCGAGTGCGTGAGCGGCTAGGGCGAGCGGCGGCCATGCGGCGGGTGGGGGAGGCGAGGCCGCGCGTGGGGCCGGCGGGGCGGCGATGCACGGGCGGAGAGGGAGCGGGGTGGGCGTGGGCGGCTCCACGCTGCGCACCACGCGCGAGAGCATGCTTCAGCGGCGCTCACGAGCTGAAGCCGATAGTCTCGGCGAATTCTGGATTTCTTTTTTCAACGCAAAGTCGGGCGACAAGGCCGTCGCGGCGCTCGTGAGCGGTGGCCACGTCGCGGACGGCGAGCCGGAGACCATCGCTGCGTTCCTTCTCGCAAACGACGGCAAGCTCCGTCGACGCGTCCAAGGTGGGCGACTACCTGGGCGGGCGCGACGCCGCCGCGCGCGAGACGGCGCGCCTCGTCATCGGCTCGCTCTCCCTGCGCGGCGTCCCGCTCGACGGCGCGCTGCGGCTGATGATCTCCTTCGTTAAGCTGCTCTCCTCTCCTCTCCTCTCCTCTCCTCTCCTCTCCTCCTAACTCCCAACTCCTCTTCCGCCCTCTCCTCTTCTCTCCTCTCCTCCCATCTCCTCGGCTCTCGTCTCGGGACACCGACCCCGGCGCAATTCCGTCTCTCTCTCTCATTCTTCCCTCGCCTCTCCCCGCCCCTCTCTCACCGCCCCTCTCCCCCCCCCACACACCCAGCCTGCCCCCCGCACACTCCCACGGTTGGGTACTACTTTGGGGGGGCAGGCCCCCCCCCCCCCCCTTCCCCCACCCACCCCCCTCCCCCCCCCCATCCCTCCCCCGACCCTCGCAGCTGGGCAATCAAGGACAAGTCGCTCGCCGCAAAGGTTGCGGAGATGTCTCGGTGTGCTTTTGCCCCAACCACGTGGTGGCCGAAATCTCTGCTGTGTAGGCATAGGTTAGCCTCGAGAATACCAGCAGCCAATCCGAGGCAGTTTGTGACGCGCGTCGCGTCGACGTCGATGCCGTGCACGCGGTGGAAGGACCCCCACCTTCCTTGTTTTCCTAAACCTACAAGGTGAATCGAACGGCCGGTCGCAAGGCGTATTTTTATAGCAAATAAAAGCAAAGCATGGCCGCAAGTAGGAAGTACGCGCCGAATTCCCATTAAAACATCTCCCCCCTGCATGGTTGGGTACGCCCTAGGGGGCCCCCGCGCCACCCCCCAGAGACACACAGCATCGGGACCCCCGCCGGGGACAAGTGGAAGACTGTCGGTAGCGCGACTGCCGGCGGCGGAGAAGGCTGGCCCTTCTAGGCGTCGTCGTCGTCCTCGTCCTCCCAGCGCGGGCGCGTGAAGGTTGGCGACGAGAAGGCGCGCTTGAGCTCCGCAACATCTTCCTCCGGCAGAGGCGACGCCGTCCGGCGCGGCGCCGCCGCCGTCGCCGCCTTGGACGGCGAGCTTGGTGCGACTGCCCGGGGGCTGTCGATCGTGTCGAGCACCGGGCGCAGCCTCGGCGGCGGGGAGGGCGCGGTCCGCAGCTCCACCTCGTTCGACGAGCACTCGTCGCGCTGGGACACCTCCCGGGACACCTCCCGGGACACGTCCCGGGACACCTCCCGGGACACGTCCCGAGACACGTCCCGGGACACGTCCCGAGAGCCGCTGTCGACGAAGTTGGAGAGCTGCGAGGCCTGTGTGAGCAGAGCCGGCGGCATCTCATCACGCCGCGCTCCTGGCGCGACCTCGGCCACGATGGGCGGCTCGACGCCGGACTGCGCGCCGGCCGCCGCCGCCATCTCGGGCCAGTACGCCAGGGCGGAGACCAGCGTCTCGGCCTCGGCGGCGGAGATGCGAGCGGAGGGGTCTCGCTGGAGCATCTTGCTCATCAGCTTGCGCGCCGCCGGGCTCCTGCTGGCCTCGGCGGGCAGGGGGGCGCGGTCGGCGAGCGTGTCGAGGGGCGAGGCGAAGGGCGCGACGCCGAGGAGCAGCTGGTGCAGCACCACGCCGACGCCCCACACGTCCACCTTTGGCCCGAGGGTCGCGCCGAGCTCCGGCGCCACCTGCTCTGGCGCGCGGCAGACGGCGTGCACCGTCTCCTCCGCCTCCTGGCGCGCCGCCGCCACCGCCTCGCGGCTCCGGAGGACCTGGCCGCCCGGCGACGAGGGGAGCTTGGAGACGCGGCACGCCCCGAAGGAGGCGAGCACGTACGTGTCTCGCGGCCCCGCCCGCCGGTAGACGTTCTCGAGCCGCACGTCGCGGTGCGTCACTCCGGCGGCGTGGCAGGCGCTCACCGCGGAGCAGAGCTGGCCGAGGATCGGCAGCGCGTGCGCCTCCCCGATCGGCAGCGGCGAGGCTGCCAGCGAGCCGCCCGCGCAGTACTCGAGGAGCAGCCGTTGCTCGAGGGCGTCGCCGGCGGCGATGAGGTCGTGGCCGAAGAGGTGCACGATGAAAGGGTGCCCGCGCAGCCGCTCGTGCGCAGTGACCACGTCGTCCGCCCTCGCCTTCTGGTCGGCGGGGAGTGGGGTGCGCTTGAGGACGACGAGGTCGTCCTCGTGCCAGACGAGAGTGACGGTGGAGAAGTCGCCGTCGGCGAGGTGCGACTCCTCGTAGAGGATGACGCCGCACGCCTCGATCCGCCGCTGGAACTTGCAGCACCAGCCCGGGAGGCAGCACGCCATCGTGTGGATGCAGAGTGGACGCCGTCGCCTTGTTATTGAGAAGAAATAGCTCCGACACTACGAATTAAGGCTACTAGCCTCTGAGGAGGGCGTCCATAGACACCTCACTAGACCCCACACACGGTCTCGTCCGTGCCTCGCCGGCCGGCGGGATTGCTAGAGGTGGAGCAAGCCTGCTCTAGCCATGGATCGCGCTGCGCAAATGCTGCTCCTGCCGGAAGCTTGTAGGTCTCGCCGGAACCGGTGGCCCATATTAGAGAGGCAAGGCGCTGCTCGCGAAGCCACAGCCTCCTACCTGGGATGGCGCCCCACGCGTTTTAGCCCATTATGCAAAACAGTATTTTCCAAGTACTGGGTGATGAATACACTAGTAGGTGAGGTGCATGAGCCTTCTTCCCCCGTCCGCTCTCCCAGCCCCTTAGTCCGACTGTTGGCTTTCGTCTTTATTATGTATCTTATGCATGGAGCTTGGTTGATTGATTGACTCTGGTTGGTTGGCTAGCCAGCGGCAGGCTGCTCCAAAGGCAATCAATCTGAGGATGTGTGCCGCTCCAGCGACGGCACGCCTACAGACACACAAGCAGAGGTAGGAGGTAGAAGCAGGTATGTATGTATGTAGTAAGGTGAAGAACAGTCAGGCTCGGACTGGACACCAACGCGGTATGGGTGGACGCAAGACAGATGATGACGACACGCACGAGCGACACACAGACACAAACAAGCTCACAAGACACACAGCCAGCGGGCTGCCACACATCCTGAGTGGGCGTACACATCACTCAGGCCACGTCCCCCCTGTCGCCCCCCCCAGCACTCCAAGGTGCCAAGAGACAAACAACAGCACAACAACACAGACAGGCGACAGGGGCGAACGTGTGAGACTAGAGCAGGCTTGCTCCGCCTCTAGCAATCTCGTCGCCGGCCGCAAGGCACGGACGAGACCGTGTGTGGGGTCTTGTGAGGTGTCTATGGACGCCCTCCTCACAGGCTATTGGCCAGCCGCTAGCCCTAACTCGCACTCATGGGTGACGACAGTTCATTGGATGAGTGGTTGCGAGCAGAGGCGCGTGTGCTGAATCTAGATCGCACGCCGTGGCAGGTATGCGGGACTGGCTTTCTCGTCCCGGGGGGGACCGAAGCCCGAACCCGCCACAACCACGTTCCACGACTTCCACGACCAGCGAGAGCGAAGCGAGCGGCCGAGAAGCAAAATGGCGAGCTCCAGCCACGCCGAGATCGCCGACGTGCTGACCCGCGCCATCCACACCGTCTTCTCCGAGTGGACCGCTCTCGGGATGGCCGTCGAGAACGAGTGGGGCGGCCGCAACACACGCGACAAGGCACTCGCGCTGTTGCAGCAGGCGCTGCCGCACTGGGAGAGCCGCGCCGCAGTCGCTTCACCGAACCCAGAGCACGAGAGTTTGCGCGGGATCTCATCATCATCTTCACCTGCGCACGCGCTTGCGTGGAAAATACGAGAGCCGCGAGCGCTGCCGGGAAGCGCTGCTAGGAGCACCCTCGCCGCAGATCCGTCTCCCTCCCGAACACCCAGCTCGGCCGACGCAGGTGTGCCACGGGATGCTGACGTCGGAGGCGGTGCACGCGGACGAGCTAGAGGCGCTGCTCGACTCGGCGCTTCTCGACGACTTCAACATCGAGGCTCTCTCTGCCTCTCGCTCTCTCTCCTCCCCTCTCCCCTGCCTCTCTCTCTCTCTCTCTCTCTCTCTCTCTCTCTCTCTCTCTCTCTCTCTCTCTCTCTCTCTCTCTCTCTCTCTCTCTCTCTCTCTCTCTCTCTCGCCCCCCCCCCCCCCTCTCTCCCTCTCCCTCTCCCTCTCACTCTGGGGAGATCACGAGAGATATGGGGAGGCATGGGGAGGTAGGCGGAGGACGACTCGCCCGCGCAGATTGCGAGGCTGCTCTGCACTCTTCACGCCGAGGCGCGATCTCCGGCCGATCTAGCGCAAAGCTGTTTTTCACACACACACAGCACATGCACATGCACATGCACATGCACATGCACATGCACATGCACATGCACATGCACATGCACACACACACACACACACACACATTGCCAGGCGAAGGCCGGCCAGCTAGCGACGGCCAACGCGCTGCTGGCGAAAGCGGCGGCGAAGCGGCCCGAGAACAACTGGATCGCCGCGCCGCTTCCCCCGAAGGCGCGCTTAACTAGAACCCTCTGTTCTCCAGGGGCAGTCGCCCGATCAGAGTCTGGAGCTCCCTGAAGGCGCCGAAGACGCCATATCTCCCCACATCTCCCTGTACCCCGTATCTCCCCACATCTCCCCACATCTCCCCGTACCCCGTACCCCGTATCTCCCCATATCTCCCCATATCTCCCCACATCTCTCCGTACCTCCCGTGCCTCCCCGTGCCTCCCCGTACCTCCCCACATCTCCCCACATCTCCCCGCACCTCCCCGTACCTCCCCGTGCCTCCCTGTACCTCCCCGTATCTCCCCGTATCTCCCCGAAGGCGCGCAAGGCCGGCGACTCGTCCGACGAAGAGGGCGACGAGGGCGAGGAGGCCGAACAGGGCATGGCGGTGGACGGAGGTAGCGGCGGCGGCGGGTCGGAGGCGGGCGGGGCGGGCTACCGGAGCCGAGAGGCTCCGGCGGTGGACGAGGACGGGTTCGAGACGGTGACACGCTCAAGGGGCCGCCGCTGAGCGCGTCGGCTGGAAGCACACACAGGTCACAGTCGGGGGGGAGAGGGGGGGGGGGGGGTCAGTGTCTGCTCAAGTCTAGACTGCGCCACCGACGCGTACGTGCTGGAGTGCTGCGAGGCGGACTCTGGTAATAACTCCGCGCTTGAAGCCGTAGATTTCCACTGGGTTTCGACCTATCGCGTCCTGCCGTCAATGGCCTTCCGTGTCGACGCCCTCCCGCCGACGCGTGATGGTGTGACGCCGGCAAATCCCTCTGCTCGCCTGTGTTACTCTCTCTCTATACGCGGTTGACACGCCATGTAACGATGTACCATACATACGGCCGTGTCTGAGCGTGATCTCCTCTCCGCGCGCAGTACAAAAGCGGAGTGCGCTCCCTCCCCTTCTATGATGTAACATACTTGACCCCCCCCCTTGGCGCCTCGTGTTTTTCGTGCCAAACCAGCGCGATCTCGGCGGGGCGTCAGCGCCTCTCGGAGGGGCATCATGCGCTCCCGGGGCCGCCCGACGGCGCGGGCCTCTTGCTGATGGACCCAGCCGAGGTGCCCGACCAGTCGGAGTGGCGCTGACGCGCCGCGCGCGACCACCAGCCAGCTTGCCAGCCGGGCCGAGCACGGTGTGTCGAAAGAGTCGACACTCAAAGTAGCAGCCGCTTTTTTTGCCTCTTTTTGAGCGCGGCTGCTGCACACCCAGTTCACCAGTGATACGAGACGCACCAGATTCACCCCGTCGCGAGCTTGACCGCGACCCCGGTGACCGCCCACAGGTGGCTGACGAAGCGCCACTCATCGCTGCTTTCGCGCGCCTGCTCCACAGAGGGCTCCTGCGGCTCTCCCTCGTCGCGTGACCGCCGCCGACATCATGTGCTCGGTCGTCCCCGCCGGCGCGGAGCTGCGCCACGTCGAATTCTTCGGTGGCTCGACCGCCGGCGCGCCCACTATCGCCTCCTGCGCGCCTCACACCCAGTATTCACCTCGCGCGCGACCGCCAAAGTGAGCGCACGACCACCTCCCCCTCGCTCCTGTAGGTGGGCCGCCCCGCGCTGGCGGGAAGAGGCGCGCCGAGCCATCGGTGACGTCCCGGCGAGCTCATGGGCCCCCAAAAGGTCGCACCGACCCGTGGCTCCGCCGTCGGCTCCGCCGCGAGCGGCGACGGTGAGGCCGCCGGGGCTCGCCTATACCGGCTAGTGTGGAGCTCTCAGTGTGGTTGCGTGTTGTACTAGTGATGCTGCACTAGGCGGCCCGTTTTTAGCAAAAACCAGATACCACATCGCGTGTGGTCGTCGAAAAACCGCATGTTCGCCCGTCTGGGACCTCTTCGTACGGCTCCAAAAACCGCTCCTTAACGACGACTACGCGGCCCGGCGGTCGATCTGCGCCTTCTCAGCGGTGGAGGGGATGTGGGAGGTACGTGCGGACCGCGTGGTGTTGCGACGGTTTGACGAGTGCGACTCCCAGCGTCGACTTTTCGACCCCACGGAGCCTCTGCTGCTCCGGGGGGGGGGGTCTGCAGACCACCCGGCCGAACTTCAGAGTCGCGGTGCTCCTCAAATACCGCTCAAACGCCCACGATGTTGTGCAGGGGACATATGCTGATGATCCTGGCCCGATTGGTTCGCTCAGAAAGCTTCTGGGCGGTCGTTAAGGTTCGCTCCCCGCACACCATCCCGGAAGTATGTTACATCATACTTCCTCGAAGCGGCCAGGGGGGCGGGGGCGGGGGGGGGGGGGCTTGGGCCCAACCTGCCCAGGACCGCCAGGATGTCAAAAGTCAAAAGAGCCAAGACAGAGACACCGACTTAGTCGTAGCGACGAGAGGCACGCGTACTTCTAGCCAGCCGGGGCAGTCGGAGAAGGGGCAACTCCGTGCACTGACGGTCGGCCGCCAGAAACCACGCCTGCGTGGATCGCGTCACACCAATCCTCGCTACCCAACGCAGCCAAAGGATATCCACCTCGAGAACCCCGGGATTGTAAAATTCTTCTTTAGGTGTACCTGTGTTAGTGCCAGTGCGCGCCAGTCCCGTGCCCAGTGTTGTGCGAGGGAGTTTTGTTGGAATACTTGGTGATTGTAAAATTCTTCTTTAAAATTCTTCTTTAAATCCGCCGAAATTCGTGTCCCCGTCGGACATTTGCTCAATGTACCCTCCAGAACGACGACACCAGCATGCCCTTGTCTGCGTTTAGCGATAATCCATCTGAGAACCTTTTGATGCTGTCCGTGGCGGCCATCCTCTTGTTTTGGCCCTTCGCGCCGAGTGCCAGCTTTGTCGGCGCGACTCGCGGATTGCATCTCGATGCTGCCAACGTTGTGAGCGTCCGGCTGACGTACTGCCTCGCGATGGCCGTCTGCACGGCCCTCTCCTGGCCATGGATTCCGACAGGGCACGAGTCGGCGCTGACAGCGCAGTACAATCCAGTTCCTTCCTTCGTGACTCTCGGCATCCCGCGCGTGGAGCACCCGACACCCGTCATCCTCGCGCACCAGCTGGTGGGACACACACGCTCACACACACACACACACACACACACACACACACACACACACACACACACACACACACACACACACACACACACACACACACACACACACACACACACACACACACACACACACACACACACACACACACACACACACACACACACACACACACACACACACACACACACACACACACAAACACACACACGCACACGCACGCACACACACACACACACACACACACACACACACACACACACACACGCAGACACACACACCGGGACCTTACGCACACGCACACGCACACGCAAACGGCTCGCGCCCACACACCTTACCTCTACATCATCACAGGTCGTCGTCGTCGCTGCGCTCGCCACGCGGCCGTCCGTCGTGCGGTTCGCGCTGGTGGGGTCCGCAGTCTCCTACTGGTGGGTCTACGGCACCTTCATGGGGTACCGGAAGGAGGACCCGGATGGGTTGTTTGTCAAGCGGACACACGGAGCGCCGCCGTTTGTGCTCCTGATCCTGGCGGCGGCACCAAACGTCGCGTCGGTCCCCCCCGTCGACGCGCTCGGCTCCCTGCGGCGCCTGGGGCAGCCACACCGCAGCGCTCGTCGCCCGTCTTCGTGGCCGCTGCTGCTCCTGCGCTGGCTGCTCGCGTGCATCTACTTCGGCACCGGATACTGCAAGCTTGTGGCGGGCAAGTACTGGCACCCGTGGGCCGATGTGGCGGCACGGCCTGTCTTCCTGAAGACGGGTCCCTGACATGTTCCTGACGTGGCGGCCGCAGGTATGAGTGGGCCGACGGCGCGACCCTCAACTTCGTGCTCGCGTCCAAGGCACTGATGGCGCCGAACGCCCACTTCGCATGGCTGAACCGGCTGCTTCGAACGGTGCCGTGGGTCCGGGTCGGGTCCGCTTGGACGACGCTCCTGCTCGAGCTGCTCTACCCAGCCACCACCCTCCTCGAGCTGGCGCTGCCAAGGTCAATTGCCGCCTCGCTCCTCTCGCTCTCCTTCTCGTCCGTCGCGATGGGGATGCACATGATGATCATGGCCTCGACGGGCATCCACTTCGAGCCTGTGCTCTACATCGCCCACCCTCGTCGACGAGGAGGAGTCACCTTGCTCCTCATGCTAGGCATCAACTTCAAGCTGCTCTACATCGCCCACCTCGTCAACCTGCCCGAGCTCTGCTTCCTCCTCGGGCGGCTGCGCGGCGCCCTCTCCGAGTCTCCCGACGCCGAGCTGTCTCCTCCTCTCTTCGCGGCGAGGGCGGCGAAGGTGGCGGGGGCGGGGGGCGGCGACGGCGGAGGCGTGTGTTCGCTCGGCCGTGCGCTCGCTCTGTCCTGCGGCGCGCGTCCGCTGCTCCCAATGGGCACTCTTTCCCTTGGCACCGTCCGGGGCTAAGGCTTTCTCGGAACCCTCCCCCGTAGGCGCCGCGGCCGCCATGTCGCCCCTCTACTTCATCGTCGCCGACGTTGACTGGTGGCCTGTGAGCAACTACAAGGTAATCTCGGGTAATCTCGGGTAATCTCGGGTAATCTCGGGTAATCTCGGGTAATCTCGGCTTGTGAACTACAAGGTCGGGTGACCCTCCGTCTCCCCCTCGCCCGTGCAATCAATACCCCCGTCCTTTTGATTGCCTGGGCTAGGTCTTTTGTGACCACCGGAAAGCCGGCAAGACGATCACCGCGTACCGCTACGCTTTCGGGGCGCGCGGCGTGGAGCACCAGTGCGGCATTGGCCGGCTGGTTGGGGCGCAAGATACCTGTGCTACTTGCTTGGCTGCGCAGGTCATGGACTCCATCACTATCTCTTGCCGACTGCTAGGTGCCAATGGAGGATTCGCCCTGGTGGCTTGTGAGCGACACGCAGATCTGCCTCACCACCCACAACGAGGTTCTTGTTGCCTCGCCGGGCAGCCAAAAGCTGGCTGAGCCGCCGACCCGGCAGGCCGTTGCCAAGGCACTCTTAAGATAGATGGGAAGGTGAAGAGCCAGCCAGGTTTGGAGTGGACACCGGCGCGGTATGGGAGGACGCTACAGGAGATGACGGCACGTTTGGAGCGACATACAGAGGAGACACTCAGACACACCGACACACAGACACACAGACTCACAGACTCACAAGACACACAGCCCGAGCTGAGCTGCCACACATCCCGAGTGAGCAGTACGGCACTGCATCACAGGCGCTTTGCGCCAAGGACGGCGCAAAGGCATGCGACTGGCAATGCTACCTCAACCGTTACGCAGACCTCCGGAAAGACTTTGGCGACGCCAACGTCAACGCCGCGGCGGCCCACTTCCGGAGGAAAGGGAAGGCTGAGGGGCGCAATTGCTCGTGCCCCGGAAGCGCCGGCGCACCCGTGCCTGAGTATTGCACCAAGGCGAGTGGGACAGCCAACGGGACAGGCTTTCTGCACGTCCTGCAGCGTAGAGGCCGGGGGACCTTCCACCAACCTTCTGGGAGCTTTCCCGTGTATAGGCCTCCTCCGCACGTTCTTCTACGGATGGTGCGGCTTCCCCGACCCCGCCCTAAGCGCCCCCGACAGCGAAGCCCGCGCCGCGCGCGGCACCACCACCGACTCTACCTCCGACCCCAGGGCCTAGGCGGCCCGCCATGAAATCTAGCCGTGTGTGCTGGCGTCCGGGTCCCAGCGGGTTTTCACGTAACAAGTACACACAAAGGGTTAAATTTTGTTTGGCCGTCCCTAAGTAGAGCAGGACGAGGAGAGGGGTGCCTGCGTCTTTGCGCGCTATTTTGACCTGCACCGGACGTGCTGCAGCAGCAACCGTACAAGCTGTTTGATCTAGTGGCGGTGTCTCTCTACCCCGGCGCCAACCATCGCAAGATCAGCCTGCGCCACGTGATGCGTGACCTCGGGGCGGAGCCAGTGGCCGAGGCTCATCTCTTTGCGCGCTTGTCGCGAGCGAGCACTTCCTCGAGCAGCAGATCCTCCGGCGGCGGCTCCGACCGTGCTGTCAATGGGTGAGTGGTCGAGGACGGGAAGGGGACGGTTGGCGCTCTTGTGGGGGCGAGGGGCTAGTCGTACCAGCAGTCGGCGGAGTCGCGCGAAGTGGGGACTAGCCTGCAGGCCTGAGCAACACAGTACGTTCGCTTCTTTGGCACGCTAGCACCGAGGCGGCGTTCGAGATGGCGGTGCTCGCTGCGGCAGGGCTACCGCGCGCTGCAGCTGCGCTCGAGGCGCGGCACGCGCATCGAGTTGCTCGCTCGGCGAGGAGCCGCACCGCTGGGGCTGTCGGCGAGGAGCCGCACCGCTGGGGTTGTCGGCGAGCGAGCTTTGGAAGGACAATGGTATAAATGGAGATATGCGTGGGGAAGTGGGCGAGCTGCGGAAGCGGTTGAGCCGCATCACTGCGGAAGAGCTCGACGCATGACGCGTGTCCGCGTGTCGGCGGTGTCGCGTATCCGGAAGGCACTCTCCATTCACGGAAGGCGCCCGCCCGATCGCGCCGCGTCACACGGTCACACGCGACACGGGGCGCCGAGAGCCCCAACTATAGACTATACGCTTTACGAGGTAAGTAAGGTAGAGTAAGGTAATCTTCTCCACACACACACACGAGGTTGTGCTGGGGCAAGCTAGGGGGGGCGACCCTCGCGTCTCCGCATCCACGGTAATGACAGGAGCCCCACGGGCCACGGCGCACGGGCCACGGCATTCATTCAAAGTGCAAGGCCCAGTGCGCGTGTGGGTGGAGAGGAGAGCGGCAGCCAGAAAATAGTAATACCCTCACGAGGAAACAGATATCGCATGCACACGCCTACTCACTACTGGGGGTCTGGGCCGGGGCGACGGGGCCATCTACACAACAGAGCGCCGCCGCGCTGTCAGCGACACTGCACGCCGTGAACTGATGAACGGCCGGCTGGGCCATCCGCGGCGAGCCACTGCTCCCTGATCAGATGCCCCGGCCACCGAGCACACTACGCCCCGCCTCTGGCTCTCTCCGACTCGCTAGCCGGGCGCCGCCCCGCGCGCCGCCGCGCACCGCCGCGCGCCCCTCGTAGCGTCCCCGCCGCCGTCCTCACTCCTTGGCGAGCGCCTTGTTGCGCTTCTTGCACTGGTCCTCGGAGCGCGAGCCAACCTCCTCGGCCACCTTCTTCCACCGGCTCGGCGTCTCGGGGCCGAACTTGGAGAGCGCCTGTTCACAGCTGCAGGTGTGAAGAGGCGCTGTTCACGGCCGGGCGAGGCGAACTTGGAGACCGCCTTCTTCAGCTTGGCGTCCTCCGCCGCCGCCCACGTGTTTGGGCCGCTCGGCGTCGCCGCCGCCGCGCCGCCCTTGCCGCTTGCCGGAGTGGCAGCCGCGCCCTTCTTGGCCGGCGTCGCCTTGGCCGGGGTGCCGTTCGGCACGCCCGCCTTGCCCTTGGCCACTGACGGCGCCGGCGCCGCCGCGGCCGGCTTGGCCCCCCCCGCGGCCGGCTTGGCCCTCTTGGCCGCGCCGCCCGCCGCCGGGGCGAGCGCGGGCCGCTTGGAGGCGGACTTCGGTAGCTGGACCTCCTCTTCGCTCTCCTCGTCCTCGTCCTCGTCGTCGTCGTCCTCGTCGTCGTCGTCGTCGTCGTCGTCGTCGTCGTCGAAGTCGTCCTCGCCCTCCTCGCCCTCCAGCGACTCCTCCTCGCCCTCCTCCTCCTCGCTCTCGCCCTCCTCGCCCTCCTCGCCGCTCTCCTCGCCCTCCTCGCCGCTCTCCTCCTCCTCGTCCTCGTCGTCGTCGTCGTCGCTCTCGTTCATAGGCTCAGGCACCGGCTTCTTCCCCTGCGCAAAACAACAAGCCAACGTCACACACCAGCAAGCTGAGCACAGCCACCGCCGCCGGGCGTCTTCGCCTTGGCCGCGGAGGTCGCCGCCGCCGGCGCCGCCTTGCCTGGGGCTGGCTTCTTGCCGGCGGGCGCGGGCGCGGGCGCGGCAACCTACGGAGGAATGGGGAGAGATGGGGAGATACGGGGAGACATGGGGAGACATGGGGAGACATGGGGAGATAGGGGGCGGCAACCTACGGAGGCTCCTCGCAAGCTCTGAGGCGTCTCGGAGGTGTCTTCGGAAGTGTCTCGGACCTCGTCGGAGCTCTCCTCCTCGAGGGAAGTGTCTCGGAAGTGTCTCGGAAGTGTCTCGGAAGTGTCTCGGAAGTGCCCCGGACCTCGTCGGAGCTCTCCTCGTCGAGCTCGTCGAGCTCGCCGTCCATGTCCTCCGTGTCGTCCTGTTCACAGCTGGAGGTGTGAAGAGACGCTGTTCACGGTGTGGCCGTCCATGTCCTCCGTGTCGTCCTGTTCACAGCTGGAGGTGTGAAGAGACGCTGTTCACGGTGTGGCCGTCCATGTCCTCCGTGTCGTCCTCGTGGTCCAGCTCGAGGAAGCCGGTGAGGTGCACCTGCCAGACGACAGTCAACAGTTGATTCGGCGCGAGAGGAGGAAGCTAGCTGACGGTGCACCTGTCCAGACGTAGCTAACAGTTGAGACTTGATAATTCATAGCTAGATAGCGAGAGGAGGAAGCTAGCTGAGGGTGCACCTGTCCAGACGTAGCTAACAGTTGAGACTTGATCATTCATGGCTAGAGGAGGAAGCTAGCTGAGGGTGCACCTGTCCAGGCGTAGCTAACAGTTGAGACTTGATGATTCATAGCTAGAGGAGGAAGCCAGCTGAGGCCGCACCGCGTGGCCGCCGCTGAGGTGGACCTACGAATGGACAAATTAGCTATCAAGAGTTGGCCGGTGCCGCTGGGGTGCAACTGCGCCGGCCAGACGCGAAGGTGGCGGCGGCGAGGACGGCGGCGGTGAGGAGGGCAGTGGCGGAGGGCGGCAGTGGCGGAGGAGGGCGGCGGAGGCGAGGGCGGCGGTGGCGGCATGGAGCTCGGAGGCAGCGCGTAGCGAGGGCAGTAGCGCGGTCGGCATCGGGGGCGCTCGGAACCTGCGCCTCGGAAGTGTCTCGGAAGTGTCTCGGAAGTGTCTCCAGAGGGCGCTCGGAACCTGCGCCTCGTCGCCTGGCGAGAAGGGAAGCTCCATCGGGCACTGCTCGAGCACGCCCTCGTGCAGCCGGCAGACAACGTAGCGCTGCTCGTCCTCCGCGACCGACACCTGCGAGGCGGCGGCGGCGGTGCGATGGGAACCAGGAGGAGACCGCCGTCCGGAGAGCCGGGCGGCGGCGGCGTGGGCGGCAGCAGCGGCATCGGCAGAGAAGGAGAATGAGGCAATGAGAGCTCGTGCGGAGAAGCGACGCGAGCCCACTGACGCTGCAAGTACGCACGGATGGCCCGGCTTTCGGTGCGGGAGCAGGCTTTCTCCGGAGCGGGCGGTGGTGGCAGCAGACCGAGAGTACGCACGGCTCGGTCTTCTTGGCGGGCTTGGAAACGACAAGCGCGGCCTGCTTGACGACGAGGCGTCGTGTCAGGTTGAGCGGCATCGGCTTGCCGGGCAGGATCTCAAGGCCCCAGAACGCCATGGTTACGGGGAGAGACGGGGAGAGGCTGCGTGGCTTGTCGCGTCGTCGAGGAAGAAATTTCTGGCGAAGAACAAGGAGTACAGGACTGGCTGTGTGTCTTGTGCCGAAAGGCGCAAGAAGCCGCGAGAGCAAGGGACCGGCAGGAGGCGGCGGCGCCGCAGAACGAAGCAGAGGAGAGCGACGCGACAGTAGAAGAAGAGACAAGGGAAAGAACGACGAGAAGGGGGCGACCGCGAGGTGGCATGAAGGTCGCAGCGAGAATCTGCGAGAGACTGCGAAGAGAGATAGGAAGAGGCGGACGCCCAAGGGTGGGCGACGGCTAGCGCATCACACCCCTCTCCTTAAAATCCCTGTGTGGTGGCGGCGTGCCGTCCTCCCATCCCTCCCTTGGGTTGTCTGTTTTCTTTCTTTCTTTCTGTGTGTCTTGTTGGTGGGGACTCTGTCCTCCTCCCCCATCCCTCGTCTGGGTTTGTCTGTTTTCTTTCTTTCTGTGTGTCTTGTGAGCTTGTTTGGGTCTGTGTGTTGATCGTGCGTGTCGTCATCATCTGTCTCGCGTCCACCCATCCATACCGCGTTGGTGTCCACAGTCCGAGCCTGACTGTTGTTCATCTTTCTACATACATACATACTGGCGCGCACTGGCGCTAACACAGGTACACCACGGGAGCCGCCTAAGCGACTCCTGCGAGGGTGTGAGGAAGAATATCGCGTATCCGGAGCCGCCTCCCGGTCCCCCTCGGCACACCTCCGCTGCTCAATGTTTGACGGCTCGAACCCGTGAAGCTTCCCCGTGCGCGGGTTACCCCGCACACGGGTCAGCCTGCCAGCCACGTATCCACGCAAGCGTGGTCCGCGTGCATGGCATACAGGCGTCCGCCAGACAGCGCAGAGGCTAGGCGACCGGGTAACCGGCTTTAGTCACAGATCCAAGCTCAGACGCCACACCAACACCACAAACACGCTCACTTCGCCGCTGCTGTAGATGGGCCTCCGGGGGCCCATCCATGCTACGTCGAAGCACAGACCCGATCTCGGCACTCACGGGCTGCGACGCGAGACCGGCGAGGGGCGCGCCGCGCGCCGCCTGCAGAGAGCCGCCTGAGGCATTGCCGCCTCCGCTGGCGGGGTTCCCGCGCGCCCGCCCGCGCCCGCGCCCGCCCACGCCACGCCCGCGGGCTCCGGATGCGCCGCCCTCCTTCTCCTTCTTCTCGATGGCAGTCCGCGCGTGCTTTTGTCGACGGGTCGGTGGCGTGGTCGAGGGGAAGGTCGCCGGCGGCCGCAACTCCGCCGCCGTCGCTCCGCCGGCTCTGATCGAGTATCGGGCGTTGGAGGGCGGCGGCGCAAAGCGGGTCTGGAGCATCCATCGCCACGAGCCTCGCGGCCGCGGTCGTGGCACACCTGCCGCCCTTGCCGCCATACACACAGTGCGCCCTTGCCACCCTTTGCCGCCTTGCCTCCGCCGCGGGCGGCGGTGGGAGCGGCCTGCTGGGCTAGCATGTTGTCCGTAGCTGTGGACGGGCACGTGGAACGTCAATTCATGTTCGAACGACCTCCGGGATTCAAACAAAAAATAGCCGGGGCCCTCTCGCAACCCCTCCGACCCCCCCCCGGGACCCGTGGGCGTCGAAGAGGCGCTCTCGGGCGGGGGGCCGTTCCTTCTGAGTTCATGCTACCATGAAGCACACTCCTGTGCTGCGTCGAAGCACCGGGCCCGAGTCCGCCTTCCGCCCTGGGAGGCAGAAGACCTTTGCGACTACGACCTCCTCAACCGCTCGTCGGCAGCGCGCCGCAAGCAGGTCCTCCTGGAGGAGGGCTGGCCTCGCGGCGAGTTGCCTTCCAAGGTGGGGTTGCGCGAGCACATGCAGGCTCGCGCTGCGCTGTGCGGTATAAGGTGGGCCTGGCCTACCATGGCAATGCCGCTGAGACCGGTGAGTACTTGTACGACCCGAGCTACGCGCCAACGCTGGACATCGGACAAGTGGTCCACACGCTGAACAGAATGTTCAATCTCAATGTCCCACCCCTCTGCGCGCGGGCCTTCTAGGCCCGCGGGTAGTCTCACCCCATCCCCAGGGCCTCCAGGGCTCGCACCTCAACCTCTCATAGACCAGCGCAAAGCGCCATAGGACGTATTTTCTTGTCAATAACAAGGTCTGCTTCTCTGCAGCGTGCGTGCACCTCGATCCTGTACCGTGTTTGTTATGACCCCCCCCCACAATGAACACACCCACCAGTGAGGGAGGGCGAGACGATCGAGGGGTCCCGTACCATGCGGAAGCGACCCTATCAAGTGCTCAAGTGCTCAAGGTCTGTGAAAAAAAATCAACAACGCTGCTCGCAACATGCGTGTCGCGCACTCATTCATTCATGACCGGTCTCAATGTCCCACCCCCCTGCGCGCGGGCCTTCTAGGCCCGCGGGTAGTCTCACCCCATCCCCAGGGCCTCCAGGGCTCGCACCTCAACCTCTCACAGACCAGCGCACAGCGCCATAGGAGATATTTTCTTCTCAATAACAAGGCTGTGAAGTCCTATACCGTTGCCCTTGGACGGCCGCGACATTCAGCCGGGAGTTACATCCTCGTAAGGAACGCGCCAATTTCACCATGACGATGACGATGGCATTCCTCGCACGCGGCGTCAAGGCTCCCCGCGTCGGCCACTTCGAGCTCCATCATGAGCTAGGGAAGGGCGGTTATGGCCGCGTCCTAATGGCGATCGACCTGAAGCGGGGCGAAACAGTGGCAGCAAAAGAGATAGACACCGGAGGCTCGTTGGACCGCAAAAAGTCCATTGCGCATGAGATAAAAATGCTCCGCCGTCTCGACCACCCTGGAGTGGTAGGGCTGCGCGGATTTGATGAGGTGGGCAAGCTGTGCTACATCTTCATGGAATTCGCGGCTGGCGGAGATCTCTTTGAGCTAGTGCTGGCTCGAGGGCGCCTCAGCGAGGCTGAGGCCCGGCCTATCTTTGCCCAAACGATTTCCGCGGTGGCGCATCTGCACGAGCGAGGCGTGGTGCACCGCGACATCAAGCTGGAAAACATCGTCGTGACCGCCGACGGGAACGCCAAGCTGTGCGACTTTGGGCTCGCGCACGCCTACGAGAGGCGGCCTGATTCCCACCCTTCGGGCGCCGTCTCTGCCTTTGACCGAGAGCCACTTACGCGCGTCTGCGGCAGCGAGTCCTACATGGCGCCTGAGGTCCCGATGCGACGAGGTTACGACGGCCCCGCCGCCGACGTGTGGTCCTGCGGCGTGGTGCTTTTCGGTATGCTCACCGGTTCTTTCCCATTTGACGCTGCGAACGAAGGCGACTGGCGCTACCGGCGAGTGCTCGACGCCTGCGCGGCCAGCCCGGACGCCTCGGTTTGTCGCACGATCTTTGACTGCTTCGAGGGGCCGTGCCTCTTCTCGAAAGAGGCAATCGAGCTCACCGACGCACAGCTCAGGCCATTTCCGGCGCAGCGCTGCACTGCGGCCGCGGCACAGCGGATGGCGTGGGTGCGACTGCCGCGGCTGCAGCTGCGGCGACTGTTGCGCACGGCGACGCTCGCGGCGCTCTTTACGGCCCGGAGGGCGGTGCTGCCCTCGGGGGCTGACTCGGATCTTAGTGCCTTCGATTCGCTGCGCATCGCCTCATCCACGCCGCCACAGACCAGCACGCTCGTCACCGCCAACGGCAAACTTCCAGACCTGCCGTCGCGGCAACAGGGGAGGGCCGCCCCCACTGCATCCACGCCGCACCAGCTTCCTGCGACGCCGGCCGTGGATGCAGCGCGCCTACTCGCTCGCGGTCTGGACGAGGCGTGCACACTCGACAAGCGGCTCCGTGGTCAGGAGGCAGGGCGGGGGAGTCAAGGCGGTAAAACAGCGACCGGGGCGGCGCCACCCAAAAAGCGGGGCCGCGGGTCAGCGCGGCTGTCGCTTTCTAAGCTTCTCATGCCGTCGCGCCGCGCCGCGGCCGAGTCCAGCTGCGGCGCGTCGGCTCTCGTGCTCTGATGCGACGGACTTCTGCGTGCTGGCTGGAGCAACACTGTGGCCTGTGCGGCACGGGCGATGGAGAATCATTGGTGTCTAATGGGAGAGGATGGGCATGAAGAGGATACAGGTCGCCGTCCATTGCAATAAAGTATGCAAATAGTTTAACCGAGACCGTCGCGTGGGTGGTGGGTCCGTAGCTCGAGCGGTGTATACATGTTAGCTCCGGCGTCCGGCCGGGGTGGTAAATCTAAAAAAGTACCGGCCCAGTGTAGGGGTCGTACGGTACAAAGGCTTGTAAAGCCGTCCGGTGTATGGCCCTTGAGGAACCAACTCGTTTTATTCCACACTCTTATCTCCACCGCGCCGAGAGAGCGTCTGACATACACATATGCACCAGACATAAAGGACCTCCACACGCGAGCGAGTTACACGGGAGTCAGCCGCCTCTCGGGCGCTTGAGCGGCGGAGGCTGCTGGATGTAAACGCGCCCGTTGTCGGCGTTGTTGTCGATGAAGCGCGAGGTGCAGCACCAGTTGCCGCGGTACAGGTAGTACTCCATCATCGTGTTGAAGAGCAGCGACTCGTCGGGCCGGTCCTCCCACCCGCCAAACGCGCCAACCGCGTCCGAGAGGCGCAGCACGCGCGCCTCCCTCGCCTCCGCGCCCTGCAGCCGCTGCAGCACCTGCACATTGCTCGCCTGGCGCGGCAGCGCGGGGCACTGCTCGGTGGAGGAGGTCGAGCAGGGCGCCGTCGCCGCGCCTGCACCGACGACAACGTCGAGGACGGAGCGCGTGATGGCCGCGTCGGTGCGAGGGTCGGCGAGGAAGCGGTGCGCGCGCACGGGCAGCGGCGCGGTGAACTTGCCCCCAAACTTGTGCGGCTGCATGCCAAAGCGCGTCGGCTCCGTCGCCATCAGCTGCAGCTTGTGCGTGTCGATGACGAAGCTCGTGCTGCACTTGAACGGGATCTGCATCCGGCGCGGCGCGCCCTGGTATAGACAGCTCGGCATGATGTCCGGGTACTCCGATCGGTCGCAGAGGCAGTCGAACTGGGGCAGGATGAGCGTGCGATTGAGGACCCGCGCGATGCCCATCGCGTCGCGCAGTGCGTGGACCTGCCGCGCCATCAGCGCCACGTTGGCGCGCAGCCGCACCGACCGCTTCAGCCCCTCCTGCCACATGATCTCCTTGCCCGCTGGCTTCGGAGGCAGCCCGTGCGCCGGGTCCTCGCCCCCGCACGGCGCGGTCAGCTTCCCCGGCGCGTGAACCCCTTCCCCGGCCTGGCACGGCATCGGGTCGGCTCCGGGGTCCGGCGGCACAAAGGTGAGGAACCTGCCCTCGGTGTAGTAGGCATCGGGCAGCAGCGCCCACAGGCCGGACTCGAGGAGCCGGAAGCGCTTCCCGCCGTCGCCGTACTCCGTAAAGGTCGCGTGGATCGAGACGCAGCGTCGCGGCTCGCCAGCCTGCTGCACCCAGACCGTGTGCCCGCCGCAGAAGCGGTCGATCGGGAGCGGAGCCAGGCGAAGACCCTCGGGGCCGAAGCCGCGGACCGGGCCGATGACGCGCCCCGACGGGGAGGCGGCCTTGACAGGGTACATGCCGTCGGCGAGCAGGTTGTTGAAGGCGCCCTGGTCGTCCGAGTGCGGCGAGTGCAGGTTGAGCGTCTCGAGCGCCCACCTCCGCGCGAGCGCGATCGAGTCGACCGACGACTTGAACCAGAGCACGCCGGTGTTGAGGACCGCGCCGTGCGTGTTGCCGGGCGCGTGGCCGCACTGGACCGGCGAACGAGGCCGCTCGGTCTTGTCGCGGTCCGAGTCCAGATCGAGGCAGTCGGTCGACGCGCCGACCGTCGCGCCCTCTTGCATCAGCTCCGTCAGCAGCGGCAGCGGGTCGCCAACCCAGACGACGTCCGAGTCGGAGACGAGCACGTCCCTGCCCGTCTCGAGGACGAGGCGGATGCAGTCCGCCTTGAGGTAGCCCATCCGGTGGAAGAGGTGCGGCGCGTGCCGAAAGTGCGTGATCGGGAGCGCGCCCGTGTAGTTGTACGCCGGCAGCCGCCGCTCGTGCAGCGACAGCAGCAGCGTCTCGTCAAAGGCGGCGATCACCATCTGGCGGCTGTACCCACGCTGGATGACGTGGTGCGCCCAGTTGAGCAGCATCTCGGTGACCCCGCTGTTTCCGAAGGCGAGCCACGCCGTGCCGCCCTTTGGCACGTACTGCAGCAGCTGCTCCATGCTCGCATTGGCCGGCCGCTGCGGCGGCAGCAGCGACGCGTCGGGCCGCCAGCTGGACATGCCATCGGCCTGGGGCACGGGCCGATGGGAATGGACCACCAGTAATCAAACAACCGGGCGTCGGAGGTGTCTCGGAAGTGTCGAGTGGCACGTCTCCGAAGTGTCTCGGAAGCGCCTCGCGCGAGCTCGGACCATCCCTGCAAGCCCATGTGGGTACGCTAGGAGGTGACGGAAGTGTTACGAAAGTGTCAGGAAGCGTCTAGGAAGTGTCTCGCGCCTGCAGCAGCCGCCGCACATTGTCCGACTCTCGCTCGGCCTGCGTCCACGACGCCTGCACGTTGCCCCAGAGCGCCCCCTCCTTGGGCTGGCGCTGCTTCTCGATCGCAGTCGCCACCGACTGCGCCGCCTCGCGGCTCTGACCCGCGCCGAAGAATGGCCGCTCGGTGCCGGCAGCACTGGCACCAGCCGAATGCGTGGCGGCGGTCATGACTGCTGCAGCAGTGACTGCTGGTGCGGTCGTCGATGCGGTCGCTGAGGCGGCGGCGTGTGCGTCGATGCGCGACGATCTCTCAACCGCGAGCCTGCTGACAGACTCCTCGCGCCTCCGCCGGAGGAGCAGCGCCGCCTCGGCTGGCCGCTGCAGCGCGTGCCTTGGCGGCGTGCGTGTGACGAGGAAGAGGGCTCCGGCAAGAAGCAGCAGCCAGACGCCGGTCACATTTCGCATCTGCACGGCTAGCTTGAAGAGGCGCGCGAAGCTTGCCCTCGCCAACTTGGGCACACCCAAGTTGGCGACAAAAAAATCAAGCTCCTCCGGCCCTGGATGTGAGGCCTAGAGGAGAGCTTCCGAGACCCACTCCAAGACCACGCACGCATCATCCCGCGGCCTGGCGGTCGGCGGGATTGCAACCAGTCTTCGCGTGCCGCCTGTCGTTCGATTCGGGCGCCTTCGGCGTCGGGGTGGCGAGCAGGGGACGCGGCTCTGAGCGCCCAGCGACGCGTGCCGTACCTCACCGGCACTGAGTCGGTTTCGCTCTTCCTCTCGCTCGACGAGCGACCCGCCCAGCACCTATTGGGAGTTCGCAAGGTGTCGGGGCCTCGATTTGCGGTGAGCTCGGTCCTCGGCGCGGCCCTTCCCATCGGCGAGCTTGTCGATGTCGACGCGGGCGAGTGCGTCGCCCGATGTGAGCGTTGGGAGAGGCTCGCCCGCGGACCCCAGCCACGCGCCGCGCTTCGGCTGGCGGCGGCGCTTCCAACCAAGACCACTCCCGTGCTGAACGAGCTTCTCGGCCGCACAGAAGCGGTACGAGCGGAGCTCCTGCCGTTGCTCAAGCGGCAGAAAGCGGTGGCGTCGGCGCGCATACCTCCGGCCGAGGAGGACCTCATCGGCGCGATGCGGCGCGCAAACAACGATGTGGAGAAGGCGCGGACGCGACATGCCTCTGGTGGAGGCGCTGTCCGTACTCTGCCGGTGGCATCAGAGCTGGACGTCATGGCTCGTAGGCGGCTTGGGAGCTGCGCAGCATGCGGCGTTCGGAGGACTCACTCGTCTCGCAGCGGCAGGGTCACGTCACGCGGGCACAGGTGCGCGAGGCGCTGCGAGCGACAGATTACGACATCGACGCAGCTGGGCGCCTGCTGGACCAGCGTCGGCAGATCTCGCGCGTCGCTGACTATATTTTGGACCAGCGCGGGCTCGAGTCGGGGATCGGCTGGCCGACTCGGCAGGAGGTCGAGGGTCTGCTCGCCAGGACGGGCAACGACGAGGGCGCCGTCCTCTCGTCGCTGTTGCGCGAGAGGCGGGCGACGGTCGAAAAGATGGTGGAGATCATTCACACCGACTCGGTTAGCGTCGAGATGCAGCCGCGATTGCAGCGGAGATCACAGGTTCGATTTCGACTCTTTTGCCAACAGGTGGACAAGCTGCTCGCGGTCGAGAACCTCTTCATCTACGGCCTGACCGTACCACCAACAGCGAGCGAGCGGGCGCACGTTGAGGCGCTGTACGGCGGAGAATTCGACCGTTCGGCGGCGAGGCTAGACTGTTTCCTGCGCGAGGTGGGTGCGCTGCAGCGCAACCTCGATGAGCTCGCGCCTCCAGACTGGCGGCCCTCGCGGGCGGAACTGGAGGGTCTTGTGCGGGAGCTGGGCGGCGCCCCCGCAGAGGCTTTCCTGCGCGCGTTGCGCCGGCTTGCGGAGGCCGCGCCCAAGTTGGGGTCGCCCGACCGCGAGACGCTCGGGCGGTACGTGAGGCTGGGCGAGTGCGACGAGGAGGCGTCGCTCACTTTCGCGCAGTCGGTGTGGAAGCTGATGGGTGGCGCGACGGCAAGCAAGGCAAAGGAGAAGCCCAAGTCAGCGAGCGCGAGGACGAGGCAGCCACCCGCCAAAGCGGCGCCGCCTCCACGATCAAGGTCAGCGGCGCCGGCGGGCAAGAAGCGCGGCGGCAAGGGCGCCACGGCGAGCGCGCCCGATCCGGCGGACACGCCGGGCCCCAGTCGCGCTGAAGCCGAGGCGGTGCTGCTGGCGGTGAACCCCGTCGGAGACCTGACGGCCGCCACCGAGCTCCTCAAGCGGGTCGACGTGATCCACCGGCAGATCTCGGCTACCTTCCCGCTGCTTCGGCGCGAAGACGCGCTTTGGGCCGCGTCGCCCGCCCGTGAGGCGCGCTACCTCTCCCGCGAGCCTCTCTCGCAGGAGGAGCGCAAGGAGGGCGAGTCGGGCGCCAAGCACTTGCTGCGCCGGCTGGGTGCCGCGCTCGAGTCTCTCAAGGACATTCTCGCGGTCGACGAGCCCGCTGAGCCGCCGCAGAGCAAGAGCGCCGTGCTCGCGGCGCTGGCCGAGGCCGACGCTCGCAGCGCGCAGCCGAGTGGCGTGCCGCGCCAATCCGTGCGCGAGGGACTCGACGCACATGCGTTCAATCTCGAGGGCGCCACGCGGTGGGTGCGCGGCGTCGGCTCGCTCCTCCACCGCCAAGCAGAGCTTGGGATAGAGTCGCGCGAGGAGGTGGAGGCCGCCTTTGAAGATCACGGCCAGGACCCGGATCAGACCACCGCATACATGGAGCAGCTGGGAGGGCTGATGGCCACGGTGGGGGCGAGCCTTCCGCGGGTGGGTCGGGCAGACGCCAAGGCCTTCCTCAAGCTGGGAGCCGATTGTGCCTCCAGCGCGCAGCTCGCCTCGCTCACCACGGCTTGCCTGCGGGGCCTCTCCCACTTGCTTGGCGACGCGGAGGCGCTGCTGAGCATCGGCGTCAAGGCCAACGCGCTGACAGCGGATGATAGGTGCTACCTGATCGAGAGCTTGCACCGCTTTGCCTTCGCGGACGAGGCTCGTGGCGGTGACGGCTCGGCACCGAGCACATCGCCAAGGTCGACGCCGGGAGAGGGCGATGGTGACGGCGACGGCGGCAGCGACGGCAACAGCGGTGGTGACGGGGCTGCAGGCGCAAGCGGCGAGGAGGTGAGGACGATGGTGGCGCGGGCGATCGAGTACATGCGGAAGGTCTCCGAGGTCCAAGTCTACCTCGCCACCTTTCCAGAGCTGGATCAGCCATCGCGCGTCGCCGCGGCCAACGCCCTGGACGCGGCCGGACTCGACCGCAAGAAGGCGGGGCGGGCGCTCCGCGACGAGCTGCGAAAGAAGCGCGAAAAGGACATGCGTGAGGCGTACAACCGAAAGAGGTTGCTCTCCGAGGCGTACAAGAAGGGACGTTCACCGCCGTCAATGATGGTGGTGGAGACTGCGGCGGAGCAGCTGCAGGCCTCGGCGCCGCTTCGCCCGCCGGTGTCGCCCTTGAAGCGGGCCGTTTGCGAGCTCAGCCTCGGCGCGGACGGCGGGGAGCGATCCAAGAGCCCGCGCCCCTTTGGGCAGCCGCGGCAGACCGGGCACTCTTAGTTGCTCCAGAGGTTTCGTGCTCGCAGGTGGGTCACACTCAGGGAAGGGGGGAAGAGGGGGGGGGGGGGGGGGGCGGAAACCCGACGGCGGCGCCGCTTCAGCTCTGTTTGAGCGCCTCTCGCAACTCGGCCGCCTTTTGCTCATGCTGCTCGAGCAAGTTGCGCAGCGCAGACACCACCAACCCACGCGCCATCGGGTCGTCATACTCCACCTAAGGCAAGGGGTAGGGGATGGGTTCGGGTACCGTGGGGGTAGGGGATGGGTGCGGGTCGTCGTGCTCCACCTCGTCGGACTCGTTTCGATTCATCGCGGCGCGCAGCAGCTCCACCCACCTCTCCTCCTCCTTTAGCTGCAGCCGCAGCGGGATCTTGCGCGGCCTAAAGATCTCGGGTAATCTCGGGTGATCTCGGGTAATCTCGGGTGATCTCGGGTGATCTCGGGTCCTCTCGGGTCCTCGCGGGCACTCTCTGGCCATCTCGTGCAATCTCGGGCCATCTCGGAATCTCGGGGAATCTCGGGCCATCTCGGGGAATCTCGGGGAATCTCGGGATCGGGCCTGGGCCATGTGCTGAACCCCGCCGTGTTGCGGCAGTGCGGGCATGTTGGGCCAGAGTAGACCTGCGGGACAGTGTGTCAGTGTGTCACCGGCGTGTCACGGACGTGTGGCGGGGAATCTCGGAACATCTCGGGAACCGAATCTCGGGGCATGCTGGGAATCTCGGGGAGTCTCTGGGGGAATCGAGGAACCTCGAGGAGCCTCGGGGAATCTCGAGGAGTCTCGAAGAATCTCGAGGAGTCTCGAGGAGTCTCGGAGGAATCTCGAGGAATCTCGCGGAAGCTCACCAGCTCGCGTTCCTCCCCGTTTGCCTGTTCACAGCTGGAGGTGTGAATAGACGCTGTTCCCAGCTGGAGGCAGTGGAGAGCTGTTCACAGCTGGAGGCAGTGGAGAGCTGTTCACAGCTGGAGGCAGTGGAGAGCTGTTCCCAGCTGGAGGCAGTGGAGAGCTGTTCACAGCTGGAGGCAGTGGATTCCCAGCGCGCGCCGGGCGGGAAGGGGAGGGAGAGGGAGGGAGAGGGAGGGAGAGGGAGGGACAGCGACGGCACCCTGCTCTCGACGTGCTCCAGCAGGAGGTCGTCGAGGTACTTGCGCACGCATTGGAGGTAGCAGTCGCGGTGTAGCACGACGTGACACACCTGCGAACGCAGCGCAACAACAGCGCGCCGCTCACAACTCGCCGCGCCGCCCAGGGCCTCATTCCCGGGAAGAGTCGGGACTCGCCTTGCAAGAGTTGAGCGCATCGCTCTTGCGGCCCGAGCCCAAGGCGTACGGCTGGAGGCAGATCAGGCAGCAGCTCTCTTCGCCGCGCGTCCTCGCTGTCCCTCGTCCTCGCTTGCGAGAGGCGCCGGCCGAACCAGACGACGAGGAAGAAGAGTCCGCCATCGAAACCGCGAAGAAAAAAATCCGCTGATATCATGAACCGGCGAAGAAAGAAGAACTACTCGGCAGCGAGCTGCGCGCAGGCGCAGCAGGAGGGGAGAGGGAGGGTGGTTTGGTATTGGGGCTTTGGGGCGGGCTCGAAGCGCGGGCCTCGCGCCGCCGTCGCACCTTGCATTTGGATGTTTGCATTCTCCTCCGGGGGCGCCCGCCATCTCTCTCTCTCCTCCCCTCCGCTTCGCCGGGGCGCCCCGCGCCCGCCAGGGCGCTGAGGGCGGAGACGAAACATTCAGCCGGACTGGCTCTGCATCAAAGCCTCTCTCCGCCAACCCGGCGCGCATCCTCTCTCTCTCCCCCCTCCCCCTCCCCTCTCTCCTCCGCGGCCGAGATGTCGCCCCTGATCGACGACCACCAGCAGCGCAGCCCGCTCCTGCCGGTCATCAAGCAGCACCTGGCCCTGCCGGACGTCGGCAGCGGCCCGCCTGAGCTGGCGCTGCCGCTGCAGATTGTCAAGTCAGATCAGGGAGGCTCTCTGCTGGAGGGCCCGCTCTGCGCCAGCGCCAGAGAGCCAGAGCGGATGCCCTCCACCGACTCGCTCGCCGACCGCGCCGAAGAGTACGGCGTCCTGGGCAAGCCACCGCCGTACCCAGAGGGGGGAAGCGCCGACGACACGGCCAGTCCATTCTCCTACCCTCCGTCGGCGCCGACGCAGCGCCTTGTCGTGCCGATGCAGCTGGCGGTGCCCCCCTTTGCGCCCTCGCCTCCTCCGCCGCTGCTGGCGACGTCTGCGGCGAAATCGCTGGCCGCTGAGACCGAGGCCGCTCAGTCTGCGATCCAGGCGCCGGCCTGCATGCGCGCCGCAAGCCCTGCACCCCTATCCCTTCCCGGCCCGCCGCGCCCGTCCATTAGCGACTCTGGTGCTGCAGCCGCCGCTGCCGTCACCACGCATGTGGCGCAGCTTCGCCCCCGTTGCATCGCCCTGCCACCACCTTCCCCGTCCAATGCGCATTGCTCGGCGTCGTCCGCCGTGGGTTTCCTGCGCAAAACGAGCACTTCTGACTCGTCTTGCGCCGGTGACGCCACAGGCGCTGCTCTCGCTTCAGCGGGACGAGCTCTCGCCCGCCCGCGAGCGCTCTCCGCCCGGCGCCACGTGGAGTGCGGTGCGAGTTCTAGCCTAGCTAGATTAGAAGCGGGGCAGCAGGCCCCCACCCCACCCCCCACCCCCTCCCCTTCGCCGACGTCACCGCCTTGAGAAGCCCTCTGGCGGCCGGCCCCGAGGGGCGTGCAGCATTGCCAGGGGTAGGATCGGCGCACGCTTCACCCGCCGGTCGGTGACACGCCCTCGTTGCCGCTGCAGGTGAGGGGAGGGCCCGTCGCCGTCCGCGCCCACTCGCCGTCCGCGTCGTTGCACGGGGCGATCGGCAAGAGCGAGGCGCCAATCCGGTTCTATTGCCGGTACCCGGGGTGCGGCAAGGGCTACGCGTCGACCGACGCCGTCCGCAAGCATTGCAGGTGCCCGCCCGCCGCGCTTTTTTGTTGGCGTGAACCGTCGGCCCGCCTCCCGCTTCTCGCCCCTTGCCCCCCCCCCCCCCTCTCGCCTCGCTCGCCACGCCGGCTTCCACCAAAGCGGCTTGCTCAACCCTCGACCCCGCCCCGCCCCGCAAGCAGCGGCATCTCGAGTGGCTGCGGCAGTTGGGGCACGGCTGCCCGGCACTCTACTGCCGCTGGGAGGAGCCATGAACGCGCGCGCCCGACCCGTCGCACCATGCTGGCGCGTCGCGCGGATTATTTTTGAACTATTCTCGGTTGCCGCTGCCGCGGCCCGGGGTTTGAATTGGGTGGCGTGCCGGGAAGGGGTGTGGTGCCCCAGGGGGGGGAGGGGGGGGGGGGGGCGCGGGTTTTCCCCCACAAAAAAGAGGGGGGGGGGGGGGCCCGCAATATTTTTGGGCGGGGGGGGGGGACGCGCAGCCCTTTTTGGGCCCCGGGGGGGGGGGAAAAAAAAGGGGGGGGGGGGGCGCCCATTTTTTATCATGGGGATA